CACTTTTCTTGGTTCAGACTTCAATGTTGATAATGACTGGAATAAAAGTTCTACTGATTGCTTCTACACAATGCCAGCAAGAAGACCACCTGCACCTCCTATACCATCAAGAATAACCAGCAACAGGTCCCCCTCAGATCCTTTCACTTCTTTGGCACCTAAGGTGTCACCAACACAAGATTTTACAGAAAGATAGATGTTCAAAAATATAAGAGGTTGTATTTGTTGCTACGTTTATCCAGTAGAATAATTGGGCATTTGAGATTATTCTGTGTGCAATAATTAATTGTCAAATGCACTGAAACTTAACTCTACTCGTAAACAGCCACTATTGTTTGTGTATAAATTTTGAATATGTATATATGGTAGAGCACAAAAAATTGTCTGAAATCTATTAAAATCCTGATGTAATAGTATTTGAATAGACAGAGAAAAGAAAGATGAGCTACTATTCTCATTAAAATATACCAATCTTGGAAATAATTTTTGCTTAGGGAGCTCTCTCATTTCTGTTCCCCTTCGTGGAATTTTAAAAAAAAAAAAAGGGGGGCTCCCTGCTGGTAGCCTCCCCACTCCCTTTTTACTGTTTTGTTAATTGATATTTATAAGTATTTACCAAAGAGCTGCCAAAGTTTATTGAGATTTGAATGTTGACAAGTATTGTTTAGAAGTTGTTTAATTTATAACAGAGGCTATGGATATTTGTAAGGCTTATATTTGAATTTGAGGCACAACAAAAATAGTTTAATTTCAAAATACAAACAAAACTTTGCATATTAATATATTCAATATTTGACTTCAATTTTCTGTGTCAGTACATTTCAGCTATTAAATATTATTGTGACATATATTCACTAGCATTACTTCAGAATAATTGTTCCATATCATCCATTTATTAATTACGATTTTAAAGATACTTTTTTCCCACAACTGGGAAACAACTGATACAACAGGTTTTCCCTCAACCTCTGGAGAAAAATTCCCCTTGGGTTTTGAGATACAAAGCAGTCTCTACCAGTTGCAGACAGCATATTGGAGTTGGCTTGTCCCACTCCCCCTCTTTTGCGTGATAGAAGGGCTTTCTTGGCCCACAGAAAGACCCGAGTGAGGGAATCAGCAGCCGTGTTAGAACATCAGAGGAGGAGGAAGTCACCTTCATGTGATTGGGCTGTCCGCTCAGCATCCTCCCCATCTACTAGACATACTGCTGTGTTTTTAAAATCTTACTTTCAAAGAAAACAGGAGAACAGTAATTCTCTGAGCTGAACAATATCATTCTGTCACTTTTGCAGTTAAGACTAAATGAGTGACTCTTCCTCGCCCGGAGACAGTGACCATCCTCTGTGTGGTGCTGCTCTGAGGTTAGTGAAGGCTCAGTCACAGTTCTATGTATTACGCTACAAAAACGCAACTCTTTGTGCTGTGATGATTTTCTAAAGCTCACGTGAGATTACACAAAATACGGTATTTTGTTATCCTGAGGCAATTCAAATAACTGATTTCCTTAGCTCCATTTATGTATGCCGTAAAACCCTGCGGTTCTCCTGACCATTCGCAGTGTCTTAGAACATAACTCGTACACGCAGCTGCGTGCTTTCACCCGAAGCTGAACGTGTCACGGCGTTGTCATCTCTTGGGGGACTGCCAATACACACCTACACGCATTGGCTTACTTGCGAGCAAACTGTGCAAAACCAGGGACTGAAACACAACATACTAGCATTATATTTGTAGTAGCAAAATACACCATGGCAGTACTTTTTATAAATTCTCAAATGCTATCAAAACATTATTTATAAAATAATCCACTCTTCCTTTAAAGAGTATACGGTTAGCCATGAGCTGCAGTTGGATAGAGGAGTGACCATAGTTTTATATTGTGCTTTTTTTCCATTCAGGTCATTAAACAGTACTTGTACATTTTAAACAGCAGTGGTACTATGCTCTTTGTGCTGCGGTATGTGAATTACCTTGTTTTAAACTGTTGCTATAACCATCTGTGTGATTGGTGTTTTGGTATATTCTTACATTAGCAAAACAATTTGGGGGGGAAGCTTTTTGTTAGTGGAGTTACGTGATAAATATGTTCTTTGTTGAATATTCAATTACAGTGATTAAAAACTACTGTCTAAAATGTACCTGGTATACAGCACCTCTACACTTTACGGGATGACGGAGATTGACAGCGAAGTACTGCGAAGATCACAAGAAATGCTCCAAAAATATAGTGTGTGTGTGTGTATATAGCTAACCGCTGTAACGTGTATTAACGACAATAACTACTAGCAGAAGTTCTGAAAATACTAAGACTTAAACTTAGAAACGCGCACCACGTCTTCATGAAATCCGTGTTCCCTGTGGTAAATCGCTCTGTTACGTGTAACGATTTTCTCGCTTGTGGCACACCGCCGTTGATGGCTGTTACCCTTCCCGGAGCTGCAGTATTGAAACTCGGTGGCGTACAACATTCCCTGCCTGCCCCGTGGGAGGCGGTGGTGTATTCATGAAATAAACGTACCTGCCCTGAAGGAATTTTAGCTTTTTCTCTCTTTGTACCTCAGGTACTTCCCCGGCCCCCCCTGTACCGCGGCGCTGCCGCGCCAGGAGGGATGGCGCCCTCCCTCTAAACGTCTCTGATGACGACAGCGGGAGGGCCGGAAGCGGAAGCGCCCGCGGGCCGGAGGGAAGGGGCGGCGCCGGCGCCGGTCGGGGGATCC